TTTTTATTTAAAGCCACCATCGGTTGGCTCGTGAATAAAGGAAGAGATGTGACAGCAGAACAACTAAAAGAAGGCGACGTGGCAGATAAAAAAGTCCGTGATTTGATCGTGCGTGAAGTAGAAGATATCAAGTCGAAGTTGGACGGATTATCAAGAAAGGATCTCCTGGCAGCTGTGGATTCCTTTGAAACAGGAGTCAGGTTTCTCTTTCAGGCACTCGATGTAAAACCTAGTGGGGAAGCCAGTGCCGCAACAGAAAAGACCTCTGTGGGAATCAAAGAAGAGAATGTTGACCTAGCAGATGTCGTAAAGATAGTTTCCTTTGCCTCAGAGATGGAAAAGATTCAGAAGATTGATCTTGATGAGGCGACAAAGATTACTTTTTATCAAGCCAAAGAGAGATTCAAAATGGCCCGTGAAGAAGCAACAAAAGCCTTTAACAACGAAGCTCTTGAGGTTTTTGCCCGGATCACAGCCATCCGATGTCGTGTCATGGCAGCAATATTAGAGTCAGTGGTAGAGACAGCGCGAACCCGAGTGCGATCAGTGCCTTCACAAACTTCATTGTCTTCCAGCTGTTCAGGGCAACTTTAAAGTGGAGCTAGATAAAGGTGTCCTAAATGTCAGAGGTCGGTATGGTAAAGATGAAAGAAGAATGATCATTTCCACGGTGTGCCAGGTCAATCGCGCCATCTACAATGCAACACAAGCAGTTGGCCGAGATTTACATGTCTTGGTCTGGCCATCTGTCGACACCGGTGAAGACAAAGTTGATCCTCTCCGCGATAGAAGAATATCAAAGGTATTGCACAAAGTAAATATGGAGCACTACTTTGTTTCACCATGGTCATTTGGTCACGAGGGTGATCAGGAGCACAAGCTGAAGAATCCGTGGCGTATCGCTACAAACCATAGGGGACAATTCGTGATAGCAGACCATGGGGATAAAACCGTGAAGGTGTTTGATAGCAACGGAAAGTTTGATTTTAGGTTTGATCCTCAAACTGATGACGCCGATACAAAGTTAGATATTTTGAATGTCGCCACTGCAGGCGAGGACGACAGGATTTATCTCCTGGTCAGACTGAAGAAATGGGAGATGCAGGTTTTTAACAAGACTGGTGACCTACAGCACAAGTTTCCTGTGCGGAGCGGGGCCTTGGTCAGACTAACAGTGACCAGCGGCAAACAACGCGGCAAAATTCTGCTGTTGACAGATAACGTTGTTGATGTTTACGAGGAGCCGGGTGGCGAGTTTGTTTGTAGCTTTGGTCGAGGAGTGTTCAAGGATGCAAGAGATATCACTGCTACTTGTGATGGTCGCGTCATGATAGTGGACTTGGGCGATGACAGTTTGTACATATTTGATGTGGAGGGACACCAGCTTGGCAAATTTAATATCAAACATGAGAGAGATGTCTATTATCGCATTGCATGTCACCCGGCAAGTGCAGATCATGTTGTCCTTGCTGGTTATGAACAAGGGACAGGCCGCCTGACGCTGGCTATATACACTGTTAATGGCGAATTTGCTCGCAGAATTCAGCTGGATGAAGTAGTACAGTATGGTGTACGTGGAATAACAGTGACCGTGGAGGGTCACATTGCTGTAGCTTTTAGAGACAACAGTATTGACAAAGGAAAGGTAATTGTTGTTTAAAACTAAAAAATTCGAAGACACAAGTCAACAGTTCTTATTTTACTTTCGTGAATAAATGTCATCAAGGCAGATGTTTAAATTTAATGCTGCAGTTGACTGGAATCACTGGACATGACTGCATTAAGCCACATACACTGGCTTAAGTTCACTGATGTTTGTAGTAAATCTTGTGTTATCGCTCTAACTAAGAAACCAAAGCAGGTAAAATGAATGCGATACATGTACAGTAAACACTCGCTAATAAGAACCTAACTTACATTTTTTTTGGGGGTCTGGCAAAAAAGGTTCATTTATTTTGGGGTACGTTACAGAGTAATTAAGGCTAAGTACAACTGTAGTTTCTTAATTTTTATGAAGGAGATGTACAGGGTGTCCCAAAAGTTTGTTCTCTAATTTCATGCTCAGTATTAACTTTTGATCAAATCTTTATTTTTACATGAAATTTATAAAAGATGTTTATTGCTCTATCAAGTACATGATTGTATTCAGAAGTTCAGTAAGCTGCAGGTCCCCTTTTTTTTCTTATGACATTCTGTAGCCATTGCACATGGCATAGAGTGGGATAAGTCATCATAGCATCTAGAGCCCCATATGAGCCACTTTTAGCTTTTTCATCTCCTGGTACACAGGAGCCACTTTGACCCCCAAACAATATCATTTTTTTAGATTAGGCAGCCAAAAAAATATTTTAAGCATTCATGTAAACAAAATATAATCATCCCGGCCTCTCTCTGCAGTAAGGTTTTTTTACTTCTTTGCCAAGGAGACTAGCTGAACGTTGCTTGGTGGACTGAGCAAGGTTTTTTTTAGCCATCTCACAGGCCTCCAACCGTCTCTTTCCAGGAAACTGCCCCAGACTTAGCTTGCTAACTGTTTTGAGAGCCGCCTTGTTGAGTTTCCTTTTCTTTTTGCCCAGCCTATTTTAGAACTATTTTAGCTGCTTTATTCAGGACTTTATGTTCTCCAGCAGGTTCTTAAACCACAGTTTCTTATTAGTGAGTGGGTGTTTACTGTAAGTACAGTAACATTTTTTTCTTTCTTTAACAATTGGTGGTATAATAATATTTTTGTTTGTGAAGAATGGAAAATAATACAATCCAGATTCAGTTGGTTTACAAAAACATCCTCATCATTTACCAGCTTCTCTATAACTCTTTTTGTTAAAGATTCAGGTTTTTGAGTTTGAAATGCTCTACATTGTAACTCAATCGCATGCCACATCAAAATACACCTTTGAAATCTTCTCCAGGAAAAATATTTTATGATGCTCTCTAATTAAAATAATAAGCTTGACTCCGGCTTTTAATGTTAGTATACAGCTGTGGGTGAAACTCTGCAGCAATCATCTTAAAGATGGAGATCTCTTAGTGTTTATTATGGGGAGATAGGCATATAAAGCCTTGTTTCCATATGATCATCCCGATCACCCCAGTCGTTTAAAAAAGTTTTGAGATGATCCAGACAACTGGGACGATAGGTGGTTTCCATGTGATCGTACGGGTGCCTCAACGACAAGAGACACAGGGTGTCATCAGCGATGTCTCTGAGTCAGACAATAGAATTTTTGTGTGGGTTTCACAAACAAGCCAAACATACATGTAATGATGGATTTTAAATGGTGAACAAATCTCGAGCTATGCTATCTTCTTTTTCTCTCTATTTTGTGGTGTCAACAAACTAGAAGTCAGTTCCACAAAGATATTGTATCACGTATAGAACTTGATGAAACAGACTTTCTCTTTAATTCAAATAGCACCCATACGTGACGTGAACATTTTAAATTATTTTTGACTTCAGCGGCATCCAGGCCCAATATATTCTGAATTAATGGAATGATAGTGATGATTTCTGGGATAGCCTTTGATCGTCCTGATAGTCTCAGTCATCTGAGAGCATTTCCAGATCACTTCAAAATTTACACGATGCTCCCAATCGCCCGCATAGAACTCAACTCTATTCACGCGATCGATAGAGGTCATCTCAGTCATCCAGGTCATTTGCGATCGTCTGGGTAGGGTTTTCATATGATTGTCCCGATCATCTGAACATTATTTGAGGCATCTGGGACAATCACAGCACAGCCAAAATGTGTCATTGACAGTGTTATCATGGACAGACATAATCAGGGAAAATCTATAATATAAATAGTTATACATATGATTATAAAAGAAATGTGATTTTTCTTGGCCAGAGGAAAATCAGGAAAAGTTTGCAAGTGGTCAGGAAAAGGCAGTTAATGTGAAGGTCTGTGAGAAGTCAGCCGCAAGTTTATTTTCTGGTAAAAAGTTTTCAGAAAACGCAGTGAAAACCATTTTAAAAAAGTCAAAAACGAAGAGTAGAGTAATATTGATTTTTTTGGGGGGGAAATTTTTTTATAACTTTCTGCTGCTGAATTAATAAACTCTATATGAACAACAAGCAAACAAAACCTCAGGAAAAAAACGTTGTTTACGGAGCGAAACAAAGCAAATAAGGTGTTGACTGAGAGTTTATACTTCAAGTTGTTTTTTGCATATTAACTTGAAAAGAAGCTATGACATCATTGCCTATAACAAAATGCTGTAAAATTAATATTAATGGCCTTGTGCCCAAATCTTAATCAGCTAACAAGGTCATTATTCAACCACTGCTAGGATTTTGTTGCATGATAAATATGTGGAAAAAATGAAAAATATTAGTGTAAACATGCCTATTAGTCTGTTATTCATTTAATAAAGTTATAAGCAATAGATGTTTATTATTAATTGGATAAACCTAGCCTGGTCACGTCCAGTAAAGCCAACCAACTGTATACATGTAGGAAAATGCAAAACTTTCCCTTTGATGACATTCATCACGAAAAAATCTGCACTGTTCACTTACTGTTGTGTCTTCGAGTTTATTAGTTTTAATCAACAATTTATAATGAAAGGGTGTGTGGAAAAAAATTCGTAACTTTTTTTTAGATTGTGTAGTTCCAGAAAATATCCAGACCCCCACCACGGAGGGAATTGGAAATTCCAGGGGGGTGGGGGGGTCAGAGGCCCAGGAAATTCCAGAAGGGAGGGGGGTTGGACCATAAAATCACTTTCCAGGGGGTCAATATCATTTCGTTTTCGACCTTTCGAACATTGCTTCTTACCGACCTGGTAGATCATTTTTAGGACATAAATAACTTGAAATATATCACTTAAGATTGTTCCTTTGATCTTAACCAGGTTTCCTTTCTTCCAAAAGAGTTCTGGATGTATTCAAAGGAATTAGACCGACTACAACTCGTTTTATCGCATGCTCGTGTATTCGGCCGCCATTACTCGTTACCAGTCTCCCTCAAAACATAAACGCGTGCAAAACATCACGTTGCGTCAGTCGATCGTTCAGTAGAGTGGCAATTTTGCCTCACGAAGCACAAGCTATACATTGTAACCATTTTAAAATGTAGAGTTTTTATTCTCCTTTTCATTTTCCCTTAATTTTGTGGTTGAAGGTGCGGCATGTTCATGATCGAATCCTCGCTGAAATGGTGTCGATTTCACCAAACATTTATACGGCCATCGCCATCATGTCGCATCAGTCGATCGAAAAACAGTAAATTGAACTTGGTTTCCCTTCAAGATGCAGGGGGTATTCATTGCTATTATTTCAGAGTTCAGAGTTTTTATTCTTCTCTTTGTTTTGCATTAATTTTGTGGTCGTAAGTTTGACTTGTTCTGCATTCCCGCACGAAATGGCGTTAAATTTAAAGGTTCATTCACGAATCTACCAACATTTACGCCCATGAAGACGAATAATGAATCGTAAGCTTGCCCTGATTAAGGTAAATTCACAAATATAACGGACTTATTAACTTTCTCTGTTTCATTTAAAATAAGAGATGAGCAAAAATTGCGGATCAGGTTACTTTGTGGTGGTCATGTAGTGTGTTTTAATGTTGCGAGATCACTCAAATAAATGGAAACAGACGCATACAAGCTTCTGATTGAAACCGTTGCGTACTAACCATAAATGCCCTCATTCTTCTACTTTAATAGTCTTTCTTCGTGAAAATGAACTTTTCCAGAGGGGTTGGGGGGTCTTTGTCACACTTGTGGAAATTCCGAGGGGGTGGGGGGTCATCAGTTCCCTGCAAAAATGGAAAATCCAGGGAGGTGGGGGGGTCCTAAGTGAAATTCCCTCCGTGGTGGGGGTCTGGATATTTTCTGGAACTACACATTTTTACAAAAATGCAGGCCGGTATTTTTAGGTTTTCATGTCTGTGATTTGACAGTCTGCAATTTTTATTAACATTTATTATATAGACACCAGTGTTTTACTGGAAAATATACCACTCATAAAATTCATAAAAACTACATCCGGGACCCGAGTGGTTTATTTTCCATAATCTCACACGTGAGTTTATCGATGACGTAATGTCGGTAATTTCCCTCTATTATTTTATCAATGTCTTTTTGTCTATATAATAAAAAGAACATTACACGGCGGCTTGAAGATATGAATTTTATTTTCTCGTGGCAGAAACAATATTTTACGAACGAGCGCATTATCTTCGCGCCACCGTGTAATATCCTCTATATAACACTAAATCTATGCAATTTGTTTTGGGACACGAATTTTCAATATCGAGATTAACATAATCAAGAAGCCAAATAAGAAGGTCTAAATTCCGTGTTGAGCAAGACAACAAGAAAATGGCAGGGTGATTTTATTGAATAGCTCGATGTTAGTTTATACAAGTGCCAAACTTTCCAATTACTTTTTAGGGGCAGTGGTATCAAGGTTTTGTGCTACGTACTTCAAAATCCAACAAATGCATTATTTTGTATTATTAAGAAAATCCACCGATTCACTATTTTCACATAGACCATAATGCACCTTGT